TATTGATGATAATAATAATAATAATAATAATAATAATAATAATAATAATAATAATGTTTCATAACCTTTATAAATATTAATGAATGAAAATAAAAACAAATTTTCCCACTCAAAGGCTAAATAAAATCAATGAAATTTGTCAAAAAAAACCTTTTTTTTCATTATGGGCATATAAACCATTAATAATAATGATAATAATAATAATGATAATAATGATAATAATAATAATAATAATAATAATAATAATGCTGAGCTATTAATAACATTGCAATGGTTGTTTTAACAAAAAAAAAAAATATTTATTAAATAAAAATGACAGTGAGAGGAGACCTTTAAGGTGTTGAGGTTTATTTATTAATAACAATAATTGAATAATAATAATTAATCGAGGTTTTTTTTAAGGTTTTACATTAATTAGTAATAATAATGATGATGATGATGATGATAATCACGAAGAGTAAAATTTAAAAAAAAAAAAATTATAATTTAAGTAACAATTTTTTAGTATAAATCTAAAAAAACAGTGCATAAAAAATTGTTTATTTATTTATTTAAACAAAAGAAATGGATTTATTGTTATTAATTTTATCAAATTTAATTCGTTAAATTTAAAATTGCAAAAAGAGAGAGAGAGAGAGAGGGGAAAACCCCGTTATTATATAAATGACAATTTGAAATTATTTTCTTTTTTTTTTACTCCCCGCCCCCCAACCCCAAACCCTCACACGAAAAACAAATTAAAGTCAATCAAAAATGGGTTTTAACTCTTCTTTGTCATCATCATTATTATTATTATAACGAGAATTATGTAAGAGAAAATAAATATATATTTATAAAAGTAAAAAGAAGAGAGAGAGAGAAAAAAAAATTTTTTTTTTTATTTGTCATCGCCATTAACTACCTTTCAACAATCAATTTATAATTTTTTTTTTTTTTTTTTTTGTAAAGAAAAATTAGAGAAAATTATTGCAAAAATAAATAAATAAATAAAAACTTATTAAAAAATTACATAAGAAATAAAAATTCACTTTTTTTTTTTAATAACTCCAATAACCGTTAATTTTAATAAATAAATGAATAAATAAATTCTTACCTTTTCTTAAATAAAAAATTATTATTATTATTAAATAACCACCACGTGTTTCAATAGTATATATGTAAATAAACAAAAACACAATACAACATAAAACTTTATAACATTTTAAATTATAATTTATTCACTTAAAAACATAAAAAAAAAAAAAAAACTTTCTACGTCAATGATTTATTTTTTTTTTCCTTTTATTTAACAAAAAAAAAAAAACGATTCCTCGTATCAATTAATTAATAATTAATAAATTATTTGCATATGTGCGAGTGTGTGTGTGTCTGCGCGCGCGAGATACAACTGGAAACTTATTATAAAAAAAAAAATTTGATTATTATTATTATTTAAACTTTAGTATATATGTATATTATAAACAACGAACTCAGCTATTTAAATGTCTGTCTGTCTGTGAGATTCCATGAGTGGTAGGGAATAAAAAAAAAATGAGGCCATATTAAATACATTTGCAATGTTTTAACACATTGAGCCCGCCAATTTTTATTTGAAATGTTGAGGAAGAGTAGGGAGAGGGAGGGGAGTAAGGGAAGAGGAGGGGGAAAGGGAATTCCCTTCGAATGTGCAATCGGTCATTGGATATTTATATAAAAAAAATTACCTGATAAGTAATAATAATTAAAATAAATTCTCTCTCTCTCTCTCTCTCTCTCTCTCTCTCCTTATAACATTGTACAAGTGTCATTATTATTATTATTATTATTATTATTATTATTATTATCATCATCATCATGTTTTCCTTTATAATAATTAATTACATTAGGAAATGAAAAAAAAAAAAAAAAAGGTTGTAGTTTTTTTTACAAAAAATTTCAAATTCAAATTTTTCATTAATTTATTATTATTATTATGGAAAACCTTTTTAAATAAAATAATTTATTAATAAAATAATTTGGCATTGTGGTGTATGTATGCACTTGCTATTAAAAAAAAAAAAAAAAGTAGAGGAAAACAACTTTTTATTTTAATAAAAGCTCACAGTTGTTAGATTCACATAATAATAATAATAATGATAATAATAATAATAATAATAAATTATTTGTTTTTTTACTTAAATTAAAATAATTCAGTTAATAATAATAATAATAATAATTTTTTTTGCTTGTCAATAATATATATGAATGATTTGCATTTTCCCATAATCAAAAATTATTTATTTATTTATTTATTTATTATTGGAGATTAACCTTTTTTCCTTCCTTCCTTCCTTCCCCCCTCCCCTCCTCCCCCCACACAAATCTTCTTAACATAATTTTTTTATTTTTATTAAATCGAAAGAGGAAGGAAAAACAAACGGAAAAAAATGAATTGTTTAATTATATTTATAACGTTTTTTTTTTTATCAATAGGAACTCTATTCGGTGAAAATATTAAAATAAAATCAAATGGAATAAACAATAATAAGAACAACAATAGACGGTTTGAATATAATTCCATAGAGTCAAATTCGTCGTGGAATCAGATAACTATTAATTCATCGACGTGGTTAAAATTCGTTATAAATTTTGCCAATTTATCACAGTGGACTTCTATAATTTTCTTTTTTTCAAATCATTCAGGTAAATTATTAACTTTTTATTATCATATCGTAACAACATAAAAACGATTTACTTTTTTTTTAAAAGTTATTAAATTTAATTATAAAACAAAAAAAAAAAAAATGGCGTAAGAAGATAATTTTCCCCCTTTTTTGTTTTAAAATGCAAATCATTTAACGTTTTTGTTTCCTTTTGCCTTATGATGCCGGGGATTTATTTTGTAATTTTAATGTTTAATAAATCATTAAATAAACAAGTTACCTTCACAATTCATTATTATTATTATTATTAATTGTATTTAATCTCATGATGATGCTGATGCTGGTGATGGTGATGATGATGATGATGCTGGTGATGGTGATGATGATGATGATGATGATGATGATGATGATGACAATTACTTTTTACCTAAATAAAAAATAAAATAATAAATGTTATGATATGTGAATAATCATAAAAGTAATAATAATAATAATAATATTTTCAGAACTTACAACAAATTTGATGCCATTCATATTTAAATATTTTAATTCTGATGGAAGATTTGTTAACGTTCACATAACATCTCATCCACTTTTACCACGTTCAGTATATCAACAAGGTCGTAAAATAGGTATAGTTTACTATTGTGATGAACCTGATGAAGATTTTTTAAACAAGGTATCATGTGGAATTACCTAAAAAATTTAAATTTTTTATATATAATTCATTATTATTATTATTATTATTCATTTGTCAGATATCAGAATTGGATTTATTCGATTCCTATCGTTTTTGGCTTATAATAAAACCGGAAATGATGAAGAGTAAAAGAAGGATAGAAGATATATTGGGGGGATTAAATTTGGGTGTTAATACAAATATGGTGTTGGGAAAAGAAGAGAGACGTGTATCAACGGTGGATGCTGCCGTTACAAATAACGTAACACGTTTAAGAAGAGAATTAACTGGGGATCCAACGATAACATTTCGTCTTTTACAAATTTACAAAGCGTCCAAAACGGAAAATGAAACACTCAACGTGGATTTGGGATACTGGGACACGCCAAACGAATTATATAAAATAAAAAAAATAATAAACGAAGAACAAAGATTAAATTTGGGAGGTTATAAATTTCACGTGGGTATTAAAAATGGACATGATTCATCCCCATCATCCCCATCGTCTCCATCATCGAATTTTTTTAATAATTTTCCAATCGATGGTAAAGCATACGAAGAAAAAACATTTATGGAATTATTCGATTGTTTAATTTACGGTATAAATGCGAGGTGAGTTTAAAACGAGGATTTAGTCGTTATAATCGACGCCATTTTTTTTTTTCTAGTATAAGAAGAACAATATGTCGACTCATTGCAACAGACAGTTTTTTTTTTTTTTGTTTAGCATTAGCCGAAATGTTTGTTTGATGGTAAAAATAAAAAACTTTTTTAATTTGTTTGTTAATGCCGCTCCTCTAACAAAGAAACAAACATAAACAAACATTTGTGGATTCGAACAAACAAAAACAAAAAGTAGAAAGTTAAGAAAAAAAAAAAAAAAGAAAAAAAATCCTCATCGCGTTTATTTTTTAGTTTTTAATAATATTTAAACGATATAATAATAATAATAATGATAATAATAATTAAATGTTGTTAATGTTTTTATTTAATTGTTTATAAATTTTACGCTGTAAAAGGTCTTTTACAAAAAAAAGTAAAAGTAAAATAATTTTAAAATTAATTATTTTATTACGTAGTAATTTATCTCGTGAAAATTATTACGTGAGGAGACTTTTTTTTTCGTGAGGAGGGAGGGAGGGAGGGAAGAAGAAGACAGGGGGAGAGAGGGAGAGAGAGAGAGGGGGGATGATACGAAACGATTTTATTAAGTTTTTTTTTAATCACGTTTTCATCAAATAAATTATTAAAAATTTACTTGATTTAAAATGTCGAAAAATTTAACAAACCTTGAAATATGACAGAAATCATTATTATTATTATTATTATTTACATTAGAATTTGGTGGTATACGTGCAGAAATACACGAAAAAAAATTTTTTTTTTCTTTTTTTTCTGTTTAAAGTTTTGAAATTGTTAAGTTTCAAAGAATGGGATGGAGAAATGAAGAAGGAGGATGGACTCATCTTTTAGGTGGTGTCGTTGATGATACGATAGATTTTGCATTGGAAACTGTTGATTTACAAAGTGACGTTTCCGGTGACATGTATTTTACATATTCGATAATAACAACAATGTATGCGCATTGCTTTTACATAAATTATTTATGTATTTACTTATTTATTGTTAAATAATTTCAGGAACAATATTTATTTTTGTAAATTTACAAAGGGTGGAATGAGAGATATTTTTTTAATACCATTCAGCACTCAACTTGTTTTTTGCGTTGTATGCACCGGACTATTACTAGCTCTTGCAATGATTTCAATCACTTTAGTTCATTATAAAATAAATAACGATGGTGTGGCCCATCCTGACCCTGAGAATAATGAAAAAATAAATAAAAATATAAAAGAGAAAAAAAAAAAATGGAGTATAAGCGATGCAATTTTATGGTGCATAAGTATCTTATTCATGCAAGGTATCAGCATTCTTTGATTACGTCATCACTCTTTGTTTTAACGAATTTAATAATTTTTGTTGTTTTTTTCGTAGGGAGTCAATGGTCCCCAAAAACAATGTCGGGTAATTTATTACTCATAAATGGCCTTTTATTTGCACTTATTATATACAATTCGTTTGCTGCATTCATAACATCCGTTTTATCCGTTAATAGTGACGAAATAAAAGATTTAAAAGATTTAATAAATAGCGATTATGCATTCGGTTACACACTTGGAAATTCTGACGAATTGTTTTTAAGGGTATGACCATAATAATAATAATAAGGAGGAGGAGAAGGAGAAGGAGGAAGTGAATGGGGTGGTTGTTTACATTTCAGACAGTTAATAATACTCATCTCAAAGAATTATATTTCAAAGGTTTAAAAGAAAATGATGGAGTATCGAATCCGATGGAGGGTATGCATCGTGCAGCAGAAGAAAAATATGCATTTTTCGTTGGTGCAAGAACGGGGAGACGAGCACTTAAAACTGTCGTTCCACATAGGAAAAGATGCCAATTTCAAGAACTTTATCTCGAGTTGACAAAAAATCACGGATCAATACCCGTGTCGAAAAATTCACTGTTGAAAAAAATGTTAAATTATAAGTAAGATAATAATAATAATAATAAATCATTTAAAATACAATTGTTATTATTATATATTATTATTATTATTATTTGATTTTTAGAATAATACGTTTGATGGAAACTGGAATATTACGAAGATTTCAAGAATTGATGTTATTATCAATGCCGAGTTGTTTGGAGGGTACGACATTCAATAGTGCCAAATTAACAGATGTTTATTCTGCTTTTTTCCTACTCGGTGGTGGTATTATAACATCACTCATAGTCCTAACGTTCGAAATATTGTTTTTTAAAAAGAGAAAAAAAAATGACAAAACCATAACGACCGTTAAAAAATTATATCATCATCGATATGACGACAACAATATGGCGGAATATTTCAATTCTTATCCTTACAAATACAAAAAAAATTTACAAAATTATTAATTATAGAAATTACATTCGAATGTTTCGGATTTATTACTTAATAAGTTAATAACTTTGTAATAATAATCAAATGTTAAGATGTACACAATTATTAATTACATAAATTAATAAGTATTTATGTATATATAAATATATGTATATTTATCTAAATATTTCATTCGTTCGTTTTTACTAAATACCTATTGTTTATAAAATTATTACGTATTATTCAGGTACAAATGTATACATAGGTTAATAAATATTGCACATGTCGTACGTGTTTGCAAATTTTTTACATTTAAATAAAAAATTTTCGATTACACAGTAACATTTTCTAAGCGCAGGGATACGGGATTTGTACGTAATTCGTAGGGAAAAGGAATTTTTTCGGGATTTTTATCGTTAACAATCCTTGATTTATATTAAAACAATCACGAAATAATCCATCGTTTCTGAAATTAATAATAAAACGTTTAATAAAAAAAAAATGATCCGATACATTTTAATCGAAAAAATCCATAAAAATTTAATAATTAAAACAAATAAAAAAAAAAAATAAATAAATAAATATAAATAAAAACAACCCAAATTTTTAAACTCTAATTTTAATAATAATAATAATTATTATTGTCGCCATATTTTTTTTTCTTTTTCATATTTGGAATGTCATCTTAATAATAAATTAAATAAATTTTTTTTTTTTTATTTCTTCATTGAAAAATTTACAAAAAAAAAAAAAAACCTTCATTGGAATGCCATAGTAATAATAATAATAATAATAATAATAACAATAATAATAAGTTTTAATCATAGCACCCTGTTAAAATTTTTGCAAATCAACAACCTTTTGCGACGTGTCACTAGAAATTTACGATTGCACCTTTTTCCGTACCTCATATCATTATTATTATTTTTTTTGTTAATCAACGACAGACGTTTTATAAATAAAATGGTGAGTATTTAAATAACTGAAATGCATTTTCCCTTTTTGTTTTTTCATACCTGCATAAAATGGACGTTACGTTTTGTGATTCCATGAGCCAAGATTTGATTAGATTTCCCTCGCCGTAGTGTGTCAAATAAAAATGACAGGAATTTTTCAACACTTCCCACCATTTACCATCGAGGTGATTGGGAACTTTGTCTAAAAAACCATAATGAGAAATCAATCTCAATCCTTGCCATTCTTTTAACTCGTAACTGAAAAAAAAATAAGATGATGAAATGGAGTTTTTTACAAAAATAAAATTTCATTTTTTTTCACAGTCCGTTGAAACGACCTTTTGAAACCGAAATCGCAAATCGGTCTCAATAATTGCGACGATAAATAATCGTCGAAATCGTGGAGCGAAATGGAGGATTTAAGTGCAAAATTTAATATGTTTTCGAGTTTTTCAGACACGGTCAAACAAATTCCGCATTTGAGACAAGCCGAATTGAACGGCGTGTCCATCATTGTGTATTTTTGTAACAAAACCGTCGGATGATATTTTACGGGAGCGAGAAAACCGTTCGCTTCGTTTTTTTCAAATGAATACTCGCAATTTGGTATTTCGTTGAGGACGCCATCGATGATCAACGATGACTCCGGTGTGAGTTGTGGGAAATAACCGCAAGCTAAAGTCCGATAAGAAAAAATATATATAAAACTAAATCCGTACAAAATATATTCAAAGCACATTCGAAATAAATATCGATTTACAAAAAATAAAAAAATAAAAATACTAATAATAATAAATAATTAAAAAATTATTTTAAAAAAATCTCAAGTTCTTATAAAAAGTAAACAATAACAATATTACCGAAGCGCAAAAAGTGAGGGAAATTTGTCGGAGCAGCAGACACCCTGCAGGGAAATTTGCAGGGAAACGTTCTTTCTTCAATTTAAAAAAAAAAGAACACGTTATTGGGAAAACTAATAATGCCCGAGTTTTCAATACCCAATCAATCAATCAATCAATCAATCTCATGATTCCGATTTAAAAACGATGATGATTTTTATGTTTCTATGAATTTATTTTTAAAATGTAATGATATTTAATTTCGAAATCGAGTAAATAGAAAAGAGAAATGCAAAAGTCGTGTGAGTTGAGTGTTCGTTCGACCTTGAATGTAAAAATCACTTTCTTTCCGGATTCCGAGGTAAAACCAAGTCTTTCTCCTCATTTAAAAAAAAAAACCCAATATATAATAATAATAATAATAATTATAAATTTATGAATTGTTGTAGGTCAACGAATAACTAGAGCATGAATTTATTCTTTTCACTGTCATTAATTAAAAGGTTTACAATGTTGTCGTTTTGTCATTCAAAAACTCATAGAAAATTATTTTCAAAACCGTTATTTAACTGGAATCACGACAAAGCATGCAAAAATATTGTATTATTTTTAATGGTACTTACCTGCAAAATGAAAGTGTAATGCCTTCTTACAATTGTATTCCGGTGTCCATGTTTAAAAGTTGTTTCAAAAGCTCGTATGTTGAAAATGAAACTGCAACCATAGGCATTGCTCGAAGATAATTTATGCTCATTCCACGATATAAACCAGAAACAATTCCATTTTCTTTGTATATTAAAACCAAAGTTCTGAACATGCCCACACTGTAAAAAAAACAATTAAAAAAAAACATGTGAAAAATGTTCAATAAGAAAATATTCTAAAACAAAATTTATAATATGTACAAAATATAAAAGAAATAGGTTTTAGAAAAAGATTTAAGAAAAAGTTTAGTTACAAGATATAGTTTAATGCTAGAGTACTTAACAGTCATAAAATTTATAAAGAAACTTCTAGAACAACAAAAGTTATATTAAAAGTTATTCACACATACCTTCTGTAATATAGACCCATATAGTAAATCACCATTTAACAAGGAAAACATGAAATGAAAGAAGAAATTTTTTGTTTTTTACATAAATTAATACTAAGACAGTTAGAAGAAGAGAAAAATTTATAAGTTGAAATTTTATATACAAAGGTAAAATTATTTATTTACAAAAATTATCTTATTTAAAAAAAAAAAAAAACTTACGCAAATTTTTGAGTGTCAGGATTCATCATAGCCAATTGCATTCTTCTTCTGGTAACATCCAATGGATATGATATACTTTGAGCAACAGCACCTGCCAATCCACCACAAAGAAGTTTTCCAAAAACATTCAAAGCTAACCCTCCTGAAAAAAAATAATAAATGAATTTTTTTTAACGACAAATAAAAAAAAAAAGTAAAAATAAAAGTTAGAAAATAACATACCTGTATTTCTTGAATGCTTTGTACTTGTCAAATGAGGAGTATATTTCATACAGCAATATTTAAACATTTCGAAACAGTAAAAGGAAGATCCAGCATATGGAATCATTCCACAAACTGTGGGAATGAAACCCCTGTATAAAGCTCTCAATCCACCCTCCTGTTTGAAAATTGAAAGAGCTGCATGTACGATACCTTTGTAAACATGTTCCCCTGTTACTTGAAAAGCAAGTCTTGCTCTTATTGTATCCAACGGATAAGTGAGACAGACAGCAGTGACTCCAGCACTGGAGCCAGATAAAAATTTAGCAGCATGCGAATTATGTCCAAAGAATTTAGGTAAATTTTTTCTATATATTTCATATGAAGTAAATTGTACAGCAGCATACGGGAAAATTCTGACCATTTGTGCACCATTTCCCTTATATAAAGCTAAAAAATTTTCATGAACAATTATTTCCTTTAAACCTGAGAAAACTCCATGATGTTTGTAATGATTGTTATGAGCTTGTAATAAAATTTTTATTCTATCTAAAGGAGCAACAGCCGTTTTTGAACACATTCCGGCTATTCCTCCGGCTAAAAAAGATTTCCACATGAATTCAACAGAAGTTGGCTTTTCGACCATTATTATTATTATTTTGTAAATATAATTTTATAAAAAGAGAATACAAAAATAAAATAATAAAAAAATTTATTGATACTACTACATTTCACCCATCAGTTTCTATCACTTTCACCTTTTTCATTGAGTATCACTTCTACTTTATTCTACGCATAACAATTTTTTTTTATAATATTTTCCGTGCTAAAATAATAAAATATTGTAAAAATTATATTCACTCCATTTAAAATGATATACAGTAAAAATAATTTAAAACGTATAGAGATAAAAATTATACTTATAAAATAATTATTAAAAATAAAATTACAGAGAGAAAGTTTTAAATAACGCGCGTGTCATGTTCAACCTATGAAATTTACCTTGGATTTAATAGTTTTCATGTTGAGAAAGTAGAATCAGCTGTGTTGTCAAAAAAAAAAAAAAAAAAATGTCCAACTTAACAAAAATTAAAAAAAAAAAAAAATTTTTTTTTTAAATAAATGACCCAAAATTGTTTTAAAATGGTCATTGGGAAAAAGAAAACATTTAAAATTTTTATTTTATCCCGAGGGGGGAAAGGAGGGGAAGTAAAAAAAATTAAAATATCCATTTTAATGGGTTATGTTAAATCGTAAAAAGTTGAGGTTAGGTTTCGCAATTCCTTCCTGCATCGCATCGCAAACTACGTCAGCAATAAAACAATCAATTAAATTTTTTTTTCTCTTTTTTTCCTACTTTTTATCCCGTGAAATTAATAAATATTTTCGAGAAAAAAAAAACAAATAAAATTTCTTTTTTTACCGTTTGCGTGTCGCGTTTGAAAAAAAGAAAAAATAATAATAATTTGTAATGTTGGCACCGCGTGTGTTTACGATTCTAACTTAAATTTAAATAAAAATTTCATAAAATTATTATTTTTTTTTCTTCCTCTTTTTTTTTTTTTTTTTTTTTCTCTTTACATTTACAAATAATAATAATAATAATGTGTGAAAATTCAGGTGCAACGGATGCGGCTTCATTACGTAGAGAAATAAGAAGGAAAAAAATATTAGAATTTTCGAGTAATAGACTTAAATTAATCGAAGGTTTAAATTCGCACAATTCAAACACACCGTCATTATATTCGAGGTATAACATAGAAAACCCATATTCTGAATTTAATTGTAAAGTCGATGATGACTCGACAAGGTTTGAAAATTTCAGTAGAAATAATATTAATGATGATGATTATGATGTATCTAAATTAAAAAGTGCATTGAATGAAAATAAAGATCTGAAAGAAATATCCGATTTATTATTTGAATCGAAAGAAAAAGATTCAAAGGATTACGACGAAGATTCCATTCAATTAAATGTATCTGGACAAAATGAAAAAATTTCAATTATTAACGAAATGTGTAAAAGAAAATTACATTACATTCTTTTGGCTGTTACAGTAAATGTCTTCCTTTATTTTAATATCGGATATATTTTCTATGAAGTAAGTATCTCCCTCCCCCCTTTCCCCCCCTCCCATTACAATAATGACAAATTAACAATGTTTTCAATTTTTTTTTTTTTTTTTTTATTACAGAATATATTTTGCCCATTTTATTCGATTAAAATAATAGAAATGTTAGCGATTAAAGAAAAAAAGGAAAATATGCAACCATTTTTATTTATATTATTAAATACATTACCGATGGGACTTCAAAAATATGTTAAAATATTTTTATCGATAATTTCGACATTTTTTTCAGATCTTATGTTATATATATTTACATTTATAACTGTGGCTAAAATTTTTAATTTACATTTATAAAAAACAATTTTTTAAATCAAATTATTTAATTTTTTTCATCTGGTAACATGTATATTTTTAAATATATTTCTGGTGTAAGTTTTTTTCATAAGATGTTTTTTTTTTTATTAAAATGAAATTTTATTTATCGATTTCAAAAAAAAAAAAAAAAAAAAAAAACAGTATTATCGAATACATCTTGGATAAAATTGTAAAAATTTAAAATGTATGAATGTAAAATTTAGTACAAATGTAAATTTTTATTGTAAAATCTTTATTTTTATATATTAAATAGATTAAGTTTAAATAATTTTGAAGTCTTGATGTAAAATAATATTTAAAAAGAAATAATAATAATATAAATTAAATGCCTTATTATAAAAATTCAAAATCTTTTTTTATTTATATTACCAATTTGGTAAATTGTCATCAACACATCCTTACCTGTCAAAATGTTTATAAATGTTTATCGAAATGTAATCGAAACAAATCTTCAGAAAATTACACATACATTCGATTTAAGGATCAAAAAAATATTCTGAAGGAGAAGAAAATCAAAATTTGATATGATAAAACATGCAAAATACATAAATGTATAATAATTATGTAAATAAAAAAGTTTATAATACCGATAAGAATTTTTAAAAAATATACTTTTATTTATTAATAACTATTTTGTATAAAAATGTAAGAATAATTATAGAATACAATAAACAAATATGGTAATAATGAATTAAAATTAAAATAAAAAATATTAAATGAAATAATGATGTAATTAAATTATTTTCATTTGTACTGTATAAGTATTGAAAAATATTATAAGTTAAAAACTAAAAAAAAAAAATGGCGGAGTTAAAAACTAATTCTAACAAAATTATATGAATCAAACGAAAAAAAAAAAATATATATAAACTAATAAATGTAAATGTTAAACTATTTTGAAAAATTTTTTTATTATTGAAAACTAATGAATAAGAATTATGTAAATAATAATGTAAGAAAAAAAATAATATTTAAAAAAAAATTATTGTTTGAGGTACTCTTTAAGGGTAATAGATCTGACAACATCTAAGTTTCCCAATTTAATCATTTTGTATTCCCATTCTAATAATGTATCATTGTAATTTTTTATTTCGTTATTATAATTTTTGGTAAATTCTGCTTTGTCTTTGTCTGAAAGAGATTTCCACATTTTTCCAATTCTTTGAGAAAATTCCAATATTGATTCATTATCTTTTTTTTTTTGAGCTTGTTTGAATTTAAAAAATGATGTTAAAGGTTTTTTGGGTTTATCAAGATCTCTAGATCTTTTTTCTCTCAAATTTTTAACAATTTTTTGTTCCTGATTCAACTTCAACTCTTTCTCCGCTATTTCTATACTTTTCTTTTGTTCATCTGTTAGACTATTTTCATAATTTTGTAAATCTTCTTTGTATTTTGCATATGATTTTTTATATTCTTCCTTTAATGCCATTTTTTCTTCTTCGCTAATATCATTCCATTTGCTACTTATAATTTTTCTTACTTCTAAAATGTTAAAACTTGGTCGTGAATACTACTCGACCAATTGAGTTATAAATAGTTTATGAAAAATAATCTTACCTGAATGTGGAAGATTACTAGACGCGTAATTTTTAAGCATTTTATTTGAAAATTCAAGAAATGGAGTGACTGGCCTTTTGGGTTGCTCTGGAAGATTTAAGTAGGCAGGCACCACTTTCTTGCTAACATTTCTGGTAGTACTCATGAACCAAGGCGTTCTACATATGTGCAAAAAATGTCAATATAAACAAATTAATAATTAATAACTTTAAAAAAATCAAAAGAAAATATTTTAAAAAAATAATACTAACAGACTCATGTTATGAGAAGGAAATCTATTTGTAATTTGCAGCACTCTTGAAAACGCCATTCCACTATCATATAAAATTGTTATTTTTGAAATAAAAAATAATTAATTGTTTTCCCGTACGTGATATTTTAAAATTAGGTATCCCACTTTAGCTATTAATTAATTAAATGTAAGCAAATAAGTAAAAACCTATAAACAAATTCAATTAATAATGAATGTTTTCAAGTTTAAAAAAAAAAAAAGCTGTACACAGCCTTAATAAACGGTCATTTGAAAACGACGCTCGAGGAAAATGGTTTAATTGAAAATAAGTCGACAGTTTCTCGATAGATGGCACTAATTAGGAAAAAATCGAACAAATGTCTGACGTCACAACACCGCAAATTTTAATGCTAGTGCTTTTATGTTTTCTAGTCTTGTTATGGTTATAATTTTTTGTTGTTTAAAGTAAAAATAATGCTATATTTTAGTGCTTCCAATAATTAAAAAGGAATTCATTATCTATATTAGCTAAGGTAAATTATAAAAGTCGTAAAGTATTTTTTACAGTGATGTCTTGTCAGTGGAATTGCATTTCTGATTTGGAAGCGTGGTAACATGGCGGTTCAATATTTTAATTTTGTTTTTTTAATTTTGTACGAAGAAAATCCCCATTCCTCTATTGACAGCCAAAAGTATACCTTCGAGTGTTAATTCTCTTTTATGAAATTTAAAATGAATTATTATCACATTAAATTATTTATGTTATCAAAAAGAGTTACCTGTAATAAATTCCACACAATAAAATATTATTAACAAATATTAGAATATGGTATACATTGATTTTAAAATTATATCAATTGTGAGTTTGTTATTAAATTATTCATTTTGATGATTTTTACAATTTTTTAAGCATATGTAATTCACAAAGTAATCTGTATGAAATTCATAATGGATTATATCTTATGATTAAGTGATCTGTATCAATAATTTTAAGGTGTTAGAGTTCAATTATTGAAATGGTGCAATTTGATTTCTTACGATCAACAAGATATATCCACAATACAAAAAACTTATTAATAATATTAATTTAATAAATTACTTAAGCTGAATAATTAAAAAAAAATTTGAATAATCAGAAGATAAGAACAATTTTAAAATAATTTCATTATTATGTTTAAACATAAAAAAAAATTAAATCGTGTAAATGCATTTTGTTGCATTCATCAACGACTTAGAGATTTTATAAAAAAAAAAAAAGACTTTAAATAATTCGTTAGTAGTTATTGCAAAATCATTTTGCATTAAATATTTAATTTTTTTCAAGTTCATAAATATTTTCATCTAAAAACACACATTTCCCCATATTATTTAATTTAAATTAATTAATTTGACACATTTTTTTTTTTTTTTGAGTGAGAATTTAACGACATTCATTGTACAATTTGAATTCAATGAGTGATATACTTTTTTTAAAAAAATGTCACGACATGTGATTTTGTTTTCTGTTTTCACATAAAATTATTTAAAACATAAAAATTAAAGTCGATGATATAAAATGATAAAAATAAACATTCAAAATTGACAAGTTAATTGGGTGATGATAGCATGACTGCGAAAAAAAAAAAAAAAAAAAAGAAACATCAAGTTTTTTGTGAATTACATTAAAGAAAATCATGTTTAATGTTTTTTTATTTATTTTTTTTTCTCAAGTCGTTCTGTATTCGGTTTTCGATATCTCTAATAATAATAATAATAATGAAAATAATAATGATAATAATAATAATAATTTTGAATGCATTTTACACCTATACATATGTAAATGTAAAATAATATTATGCAACGGATGCAATTCAAGCTTTAAAGAGGGATCTTGTCACGCCCTCATATATTTCGTAGACAAAGTTTGTGGTTGTCATGACAACCGTTAAGTCTCGCTATCTGTTTTGTGGATAAAAATAAAATGGAGGGAAAACGTTTTTCATTGTCTTTAATAAATACAATTTTTTTTTAATATCTCTCTCTCTCTTTCTCTCTCACTCTCTCTCATTATATATTAATAAACGTATCTTTCTTCTTTTTCTTCTTCTACTACTCTCCTCGGAAGGAAATGTAATTAAATTGCGATTATTATTATTATTATTATTATTAAAACGAGATGAGAGGGGGGGGGTTTAAAGTTTAAAGGGATATTTTCATAATAACAATCGACATGTAATAGAAATAATGATGATGATGATGATGATGATGATAATAATACATTTTTTTTATATAAAGATTATTCAAGATGAAAATCTTTCTTTATTCCTTTTTATAACATTTATTATGATTATTATTATTATTATTATTATTATTATTATTATTATTATTATTATTATTATTATTATTATTATTATTATTTACCTTTTTATTTATTTATTTATTTTTTTATATTTCAAAATAAATAGAGTAACAAACGTCTGTCGACTTTTTTTTTTATATTTTTATTTTATTTTATTAAATTCGATTCTCTTTCTCTTTCTCTGTCTCTCTCTGTCTCTCTCACTCTTATCAATCAAATGTCCCGAAGTATTATTATTTTATTAACGATTTGAAATAAATTTTTCAATTTAATTGTATTACGAATCATGTTTCCTAAAATTATTATTATTATTATTATTATTATTATTATTATTATTATTATTATTATTATTTAATAACGTGAATTTTGTGATTGTAGGGTGGAGAGGGGGTAGGAGGAGATCGGGGGGTGGGAAAGGCCGGGGGTCGATACGTAGAAAACACGAAAAAAGTTTTGATTTTTATTTTTTAAAAAGCTTTTAAGATTTTGATAGAATAGAAGAAGAAGAAGAAGAAAAAAAATAATAAATAAATATAATTATGGAATATTCTATTTTTAACCATTTTTTTTTCTTCTTCTTCTTCTTCTCCCCCCCCCCCCCCACAAACACACACACACACACAAAACATCATTATTTGTTGAATTTTGTATGATGGGTTAACAAAAAAAAAAAAAAAAAAAAAGAAAAAGAAAAAAAAAAAAAAGAAAAAAGAAAAATTTCCCCCCTTCAGGTTTATTTATTTTTCCATTTTTTTCCTTTTTTCTCTCTCTTTCTCTTTCTTTCTTTCTCTCTATCTTTCTTTCTCTCTCTCTCTCTCTCTTCACGTCTGCTTTTTTTTTTGTCATTCGAATCGACATCTAAAATAAATATATAAAATTCAATTTTGAAATATGTTATGTCGGGGGTGGTAGTGGGGTGGGGGAGGAGGAGAGAGAGGGAGAGAATAATTTTTTTAATTTTTTTTTTTGGTACCTGTCGAGTGTGTGTGTGTGTGCGTGCGTGTGAATTTTTCTTATCGATTTTCATTTTTCCATTGAAAAATTATTATTATTTTTTAATTAACTTTTGGCTGTCTCCAAACGTACGAATTGTTTTAATGAAAAAAGAAAATTTTCTTTTACGAGTTTTCCACGTTTTCCTAATCAGGGATTTGCATTATATTAATTTCCGTTAAACTTTTTTATTTATTTATTTATCGAATTTCGATTCGTTGAAATAACACGTCTAGTAACACTTGTCCATTTCATCGATCATTATTATTATTATTATTATTATTATTATTATTAATATTATTAATCAATGGTGTGTACAAAAAGGAAAAAATTCAAAGGGCAAAATAATAAAATGATAAGTTGATGGTGTGTGCCTATTGATCCCCCCCATATAAGAGCATGCGTATTTTGACAAATAGAAAAAAAATTTTTCCTCCGTGTTTTTTCACGTGGGCGATGGGAGCAAAAAAAAAAAAACCATGTTCGTTTCTTGTTACAGAGTAATAACTAAATTTTTATGTAGTTAGTGCCACGATCCTTTGGATTTTTTTTTTCCTTTTTTGACAATATCGTAGAAAAAACACGAAGGTGATGAAAAGCAGAAGACAAAAGGCAAAAATGACTGGGGAAAAAGAAAATTTTATGGAAAAATTAAAATGTGTATCATTTTCGTTTCATTTCATCCATTATTATTATTATGACTATCATTATTATCGTTATGTTTTCCATATATTTTCATTACGAGAAAGAGGAAGAACGTGGGGGAAGGGGGAGTAGGAGTAGGAGGAAGAGGAGGAAAATTGTTTTAATTTTCATTGACTTTCATCAACGTTTTCATTTTTTTTTTTTTTATATTTTTTTTGGGGGGGGTGGGAAGGGGTTATTTTAAATTTAAATTTTTTTTTTAGGCGCGTTTTCGTTCCCTCTTTCATCCCTTTTCGTTTCGTTACCTTATCAAATAATAATAATAATAATAATAATAATAATAATAAAGTGGATTTTATCGTCGGATTATGAAATTTTTCCTTTTTCTTTTTTTTTTAGTTTGGCCAGATTTTTTTTTTTTTGTCAAGTTAATAAGAAATTTCAATTTGATTTTTTCATTTCCGGTTTCTCGATCATCGCGATATCTTTTTTCAATTTATCGTTCTTAAACTAATTTTCCGGTGGAAAAATCTCTCTCTCTTTCTCATAATAAGGAAAAGAAGTGGACGAGGAAGAAAATTTTTTTTTTTCTTTTTTCCAGGTGTTTAAAATTAATTAAAATCGGTAATGACATTTTAAAAAAATTGTAACAAGATAAGAAATTTATACTTTGGCGTTGGGGGCGGGTGGGGAGCAAGGGGGGCCGAAAAAAAGAAAAAAAAATGTTAAAATTAAAGTTTTTTCTGTTGCGGTTTGCGTGTTGTTGTTTCACTTGAAATAACAATTAATTTTCATTGGAAAGATTTTTTTTTCTCCATCTGGGGGGAGGGGGAGAAGGGAATTTATTTTTATATAACCGGAAGTAGAAAAAAAATTTTTCATTCGAACTCTTTCGGTGTCCTGTACCTTGCCTTTTTTTTTTTTGAAAACCTGTTGATGGTACTTTTATTTTTTTAATTATTATCATGTGTGGGAAACGTTGACCGGTAACCGGATGGCCGATGACCGGACGAGAAACCCCCTCCCCCGCCCCCCCCATTCACGGTTACTCACGTGACCGGTTTAAGGAAAAACAAAATAAAAAAATTTTTTACGTTTTTGTCACTTCGTAATAATAATAATAATAATAATAATAATAATATTTTATTTGTAGCTACCCGTTTGTAACAATTGGGAAATGGTAACGAGGAGAGAGAGAGAGAGAAAGTGAGAGGGGGAGGGGAGGGGAAATAAATGTAATTTTTGTAGTCGGTTTGATAAATTTTCCTTTTTTAACGTTTATTATTATTAATCTTTTTTTTTGTTTTATTTATTTATGTATTTATAGATTTTCTATCGCGAATAACAAAAAAAAAAAAATACATAAATAAATTTAAACGTTAAAAAAAAAAAAAAAAAAATGAAAAAGATTAAAATATATGCGTTTTGAACGATAACAAATCGGTGGAAATAACGTTTTTTTTTTTTTTTTTTTTTTTTTTCTAACGGGGGGGGGACCTATACCTTCACGTTCCCTTTCCTCCCCTCCCCCCTCCCCTCATCGCGTCCGTCCGAACAATTTTTCCAAGGTTCCCGTACGAAAAAATAAAAAATAAAAAAATAAAAAAAAGTAATAATAATAATAATAATAATAAAATATATAGGATTTATTATCCAAAAATAACTGACCTTAGTTTTAGTTTTTCTCTCTCTCTCTTTTCACGTCCACGTCCCGGAAAAGTTTCTTTTTTTTATTTTTATTTTTATCCAAAAATCGATATAATTTAGTTTTTTTTTTAATATATTGTGTTTGTGATAAAAACGTTATCGGAAAATGGAGATTTGTTATTTGAAATATTTAAATAAAAAAAAATTTAGTTTTATTATTATTATTATTATTATTATTATTAGTATTAGTATTATTATTATTACTATTATTAGGATGGCGCGATTTGATTTTCCAATGTTTTATTTTTTTAGCGCATGGAAAGCCACGTGTGTAAGAGATTTTTTTTTTTTTTTTAAATTTGCGACGCCGCTGAATTGTCGCCACATTGCAATCCCCCCCCCACATGTGTGCTTTTGGATTTTTCATTTTTTCACTGCACATTGTGTTTTTGCCCACGCGGGGCCCCCATTTTATATATTACGTTTATTTTATTTTTTTATTTTATTTATTTATTTTTTTTATTGTTATTATTATTATTATTCGGTTTTTTTATTTTTTTGTTTTTGTTTTTTTTTTTGGGGGGGCAGGGAGAGTTTCGTTAAAGCAAAGATTTTGAATTATTAAAGTTAATTCGTGGATTAATTATTTATTGTTCGTTCGTTTGTTTGTTCATTTGTTTGTTTGTTTGTTCGTGTGTTTGTTGATGGAAAAGTTTCAATGTGGTTATGTTTTTTTTTCTTTTTTTTTTTTACAGGGGAGAAAAAATGACTCTTCGAAAAATTTGAAGATTATTGTCCAGCTTTTTGGGTAAGTTTTTCTTTTTCTTTTTTCTTTCTTTTACTTTTTTTTTTTTGTTTTGTTTTGTCACGCGTTTGTTTCGGTAAAAATATGTTGTTGTTGTTACATGTGGTGAAAAATAAACACGTTTTTCGTAATATCATCTCGTCTCAGTTTGTTTCAGTTTGTTCGTTTGTTTGTTTGTTTCTCTTAATTAAATAAAATTTAAAAAAAAAAAAAAAAAATATGAGAAATGCGAATATAAGAAATGTCGTCGGAAAATAAAAATTTTCCTTTTTCTTTCCCGACAGATTTTTCCGCTTTTATCTCAAACCCTTTTTATTATTATTATTTTTCCATCCTTTTTCATTATTGTAGTCATTGTTATATGAAACCTTTCATGTCGTCGTCATCGTTGTCGTCGTCGTCGTCGTGTTTTCCGCCGCTGTGTAGGGAAGAAAAGAAAAGAAAAGAAAATGAAAGAAAAAAGCAAAGTATATAAAATAAGTAAATGAAAAGGAAAAAGGGAAAACAAATTCGTTTGAAAAATGAAACTTTTACTACTCGAAAAAAAAGGAAAAAAAAAAAAAAAAAGATGGAGGAGAAGGAGGAAGAAGAAAAAAAAAGGGGGAGAAAAAAAAATTGTGGCAGTTATGTTTTCCTTCTCCTCCCCCCATTTTTTTTTTTTTTTCACATCTTCGTCTTCCCTTCTTCCGAAATTTTGGCGCCACGGAAAACATTTGAGCTTTTTGTATAAAAAACGATTGTATTGCTTTTCTCCCTTTTTCTTTTTTTCTCCAGTAAAATAACGGTTTCGATTTTCTTTTCTTTTTTTCTTTTCTTTCGATATTTGAAATTAACGCGATGAGGAAAATCAAAAAAATGATAATGATAATAATAGGTAGAATATGGTTTCTCTCTCTCTCTCTCTCTTAAGCGGTAACAAAAAAAAAATCATTAAAAAATGAGGAAAAATTAAAAATTATGAATCTCCAGCGGTTTACACAAAAAATTTCCCTTTAAAATCTCGATAATTACGAAAAAAAAAAAAAAAAAAATTTTTTTTTACCCCCCAATAAAGTTTGTTTTAAAATTAAAAAAAAAAAAAAAAAAAAGAAAAATTTTCTTTCTTTTTCTAAAATATTTTATATAACATTTGAAAGCTTTTTCTTGTCGTGTCATTAAAAAAAAAAAAAAAAAAAAAAAACTTGGCTTCGGGGTAAACGATTTACCCCATTAATTTTTTTTTTTTTTTTTTTTTTTTTTTTTTTTCGGAGGAGTAGTCTCGGTATATATAATTACGCGACCCCGAAATGTTTTTTCAATTTTTTTTTTTTTTTTTTTTTTTATTTGTGCCAAAATAAATTTTTTTTATTTTACAGGTAAAAAGAAAATATTAGTGACGATGATGATGATGATGATGATGATGATGATGATGATGATGATTTTATGTGGAATGCGTGAGTGCGTGAATGCGTGATCATGTGCGTACGAACGGATTTAGATGCTGTTGTTGTTGTTGGTTGTTGGTTGTTGTTGTTCTTGTTAATGAAGTGAGAATGAAAAATACGAGTTGCCAAATACAAATTTTTTTTTTTTTTTTTTTTTTGGCTTCTCGTCCTCCTTCTCCCATTTTTCTTTCCCTTCTGTTTGTTGTTGTTGTTTGTTTGTTTTCGTGTTGTTTTGATAGTCGAGTGAATGGAGTGGGGAGGTGGAGGGGAGAAGAGGGGGGAAAGGGAATCGTTTTATTAATTTCGTCTCGAATTTTTTTTTTTTTTTTTTTGTTTTCCTTTTGTTAAAAATCATCGTTTTGTGAGAGTCCCCAGAATTTCGATTAAATTTTTAAATAGTAATAATAATAATAATTAATTATTACGTTATGTTTACCATTTCGTAAATAATAAAATGGTTACGTGGGGAGACAGAGAGGGGGTGATCCCAAAATATCTACAACATCGATTGGATCGTATTATTCTCAATAATATTTGACATATATATATATACATATATTCATTTTTAATGTGAGTAAATTTAATTTTAACTTAAATTT